AATTGGTTGGCTTAAATACAAGTAAATTAATCTTGTTTTTGTTTTTGTCTCACCACCGTATACCAGACAGCGTTTGTCATGTACTTTTTTTTTTTTTTTCCCAGAGGGGATTTTGTCATCTGCTCTGTATTTTTTTTTCTGTATTACAGAATAAAAAAAAAAATTGTTAAAAAAAAAAAAAAAAAAAAAAAAGTATCGAAGCAATTGGCCTGGTAGTTTTCAAGAAAAGTTAAAAAAAAAATTATTGACAGACAATACCCTATATGAAAAGCTCTAAGCTATCATCTTTGATGATAGCAAGAGCTAAAAAGTTAATTATAATATTCATATGGGTAAATAGGATTTTTTTTGTCAACAATGTTCACTAAATTTCAGTAAAATGTGTCCGCTATGGTTATAAAGAAGAAATCTTAAACAGAATTGCACATAAACCAAAAGTTATTACTAAAAAATTTGTAAATTATTTGGAGCAGTTATAGAAAAGATTAATGAATATTTAAAAAACTCACGGCAGTTCTGCTCATCTGAATCATCTTCACAATCGTTGTCATGGTCACAGATCCATCTACTAGGAATACAAGCACCGTTGTCACAGGCAAATTCACTCTCACTGCATGAACGAAGAGCTGTAAAGACAACCAAATTAATAGCACAATGAGAGAAAAAGCATGATTCAAAATACTCCCATATAGTACCACGTTGATACATTGCGTTATGAATTTCAGAATTTCACATAAACCAAAAGTTATTACTAAAAAAATTGTAAATTATTTGGAGCAGTTATAGAAACATACACAAAGCATCTACAATTGCTCACATGAAGCTCAAACACAACTGTGTCACATTACAGATAGACTCAATGGAAAGGCCAAAGTCATACATGTATTCATTCATCAATGAATGAAACTTTGGGATAACCTTGGTTAAGGTCTGCAGGTGATTTGTGTTTGACTAGGCCTTGTTGATGCTGGGATAAGACATTAAATTGTCACAATTATAGGATGGTCACATAGACCAGTTCCAAACATGAAATATGTTTTTTTTGTGAAAATGCAATTTTATGTCAGCATTTGTAATTAATTTGCACATGCACATTAAAATGAGATTAAATGACGGGAACTGTTGCTTGGCACTGAATAGGGAAGTTGTGCTATTTGATTAATTGTTTAATGGTGTTCTGAGATTTGTTATGTGTGCTGTGAATGATTAATAGCACATGTTCACAATCATTTTGTTTTGCTGTAAGAACTCCATGCGCTAACAATTCAAATCCTGTTGTGATGTGCCTGCATTGACAACGAAAAATACACATACACATGTACCTCATTCAACTCATTAATAACAAACTCCAATAAACCAATAGTAACATCTTAAAGTGCAACTTGAAAGTCATTTTTGATTCCCTATAATTTGTTTTTTTTTAATTAATATTATTTCATTATAAAGATTAGTATTCACTGAATATGTTGAAGCCTTGAAAATGAGGAGAAAAAAATCGTAAATATACAACTTTTTTAGATATCTATCAGTGATAGATATCCATCTTACTTTTATCAATACAACTTAACAGTTCATTGATCTCAGATGAAAAGATTGTCGATGAGTGCTTTCATCTATGAGAAACACAAAATGAAATTACTTACTGCAACTAAGTTCATCCGAGCTGTCGCCGCAGTCATTGTCACCGTCACATACCCATCTCTGCGGTATACAACGGTGATTGCCACAGCGGAATTCACCAACTTTGCACTCTCGAGATTCTGAAATGACAAATACAACACTTCTTAAGATTGAAGCCTACTCATGATTTTAAATGCCCAGAATTTTTTTTTTTTCCCAATAAATTGTAGTTTCTGGCAGCTTAATATCTTTGAGCAAACGATGGTTGCATTTTAGTGAATTATAGTTTGCATTTTGTCAGTATTATAACGCTTTTACCATAGGTACCATGGCAGAGATAATATGCCATATCTTAAATTGTAGGCTGGTGACATAGGCTGAAAAAATTATATATTGTGAATGTTGGGGTACGTTTTGTTGTTTTCAGTTATTTCAAAAATCCAGGCAGTAAAAAGTGGTGAAAAATGCATTTTTTTAACACTGTGCTCTATGGAATTGTTTTAAAAATAGCAATTTTTGAAAAATATTAGGGCAAGTTCCTCCAATTTCGTCACTGTAACACACATAAAGCTTCACGATTCTGCACAATAAACCAATGAACATTGTCATTCAATTTATTACTAACTTTCTCAAAAATTATGAGTAGACTTCTAACTTATATGTCAACAGAAATCATTAATGTATATCAATACTGCATTTAAATAAAGTCCATGCAAATTAATGTTACAGATTCGATATATATAGCGGTGGGACATATTGGCTTAGGAACAAATGAACAAAAGCACAAAAAAAAAACGATTTTCTAAAACCAACCATAGAGGGCATTCTGACATTCAATATTGAGTGCACAATGAAAATGTTTCGTAACACTAACCACAGAGGGCACTCTATAAAAAGATTTTCCAAAACCTACCATAGAGGGCATTTTGACATTCAATAGTGAGTGCACATTAAAAATGTTTCATAGCACTAACCACAGAGGGCATTTTATAAAAAGATTTTCCAAAACATACCATAGAGGGCATTTTTGACATTCAATAGTGAGTACACATTAAAAATATTTCATAGCACTAACCACAGAGGGCACTCTATAAAAGACTTTTCAAAACCTATCATAGAGGGCATTCTAATCAATGTTCACTAAGCTTGCATTCATTAAATTTTTCAAATGAAATGACACAAACAATGAAGAATTTACATACCACATTCCTCTGGGCTTTCATCGCTGTTGTCACGGCAATCATCTTTCCCATCACAAACAGACCATTCAGGGACACACCTATAGTTGCTATGGCAATCAAACCAACCAGCCTGGCATGGTCTTAATCCTAAATAAAAATCACAAATTTTGAACATAACTGTAAAAATCGATTCATTCACAATTAAATCACGTACGTTGTATAAAAGATAAATAAATTTTAGCTTTCCAAATATAATCATGTTCAGAGAAGATCAATGTTTACTATTTCCCTATCACTTAAACCACTTCTGGTTTGTATGACTACATTCTATCTATGACAAAAAACCCCACACCAATGCCTCACTTTTGAAACTAAATTTCATACCCCATAAACATATCATGAGGTTCCATTATAGTATTTATCCCTTTGTGACATTCCAAAAAATATCACGTTTACAGTAATGAACTTAAAAAATATTAGGTTGATAAAACGTGGACAATCATAGAATGCTTAGTGAACGCCCCTTGGAACTGGGAGGTTCCAACA